TTTCTCGGTGTTTCCTAGCAATGAATTTCACTCTCCCTACCACATCATCATCACCGAAACATCTTGGGCTGGTCCCATGGAGAGTTCGGCCCACCACAAGTAACTTCGACGATCTCCACAGCCTTTTCCTCCTTCCCAGCCACCCCAACACGTTTGGGCCCGTTTCGAGGAGCCGCCACTGCCCTCCAAGGCCTCTCCTCGTGCCCTGTGCCCGGCCGCTCACTGGGGCGATGGCTTTCCCTCTGCGCCAGGGCACCTCCCTTCAGAGCACCCGTACAGCAGAGATCAGAAGGGCACTGAACCAGCCTGCCCTGCTCCACCCCTGCAAACAACCCCTGCTGAAAGCTGCCCAGCTTCTGCCTCCAGCTCTTGGTTCAGCTCTTTGACGGGTGGCATTCTCCCTCTGAGTACTTACATGCAGTGACCAAATAATCCTTCAACTCCTGCTGCCGCTGCTCCTGAATGAGATGTGCAAGATCCCCGAGCCTTGCTTAAGCTGCTTCTCCATGCTTGAGCAGCAGGTATTTCACACACCCAACTCCAAAGTCCTAGAACCCAAGCACACGCACCTAGAACAAGGGAGTGCAGGGCATGCTCACATCACCACTGGCTGTGGGAGGAGGGGCCGTGGGCCACCCATGCTACTGTGAGACAAGCCCTGATGGCGTTTCATGTCCTCACAAGGGACCTGCGGGCCAGCCTGGAGCCCCTTCCCCTGCCAAAGCCATAATAAACACAGGTGGGATTCAAAGGGGGAAGAAGCACCTCACAGAGGGAGATTTCTACCAAGCCACAGGCAGAGCGAAACCCACTGCTGAAAGAGACATGGGTGAGTCTTGAAAGATGACTGTTAACCAGGAAAATTATTAACACAGGAAGCAGCTTCTCTATGCCCAGGGCAGGCTCTCCAACCCCAGGTGTCTCCTTCCTGAAGGCAGCCCCACGAGTTGGGCACAGGTCTGACAGGGATGGCCCTGCAGCTCCCAGGGGCTTCAGACATTGGCCCGCAGCCCTGCCCCTGCCAAGGTATGAGGGTACAGCCATCACACAGGACAGGCAAAACTCTGCCCACACCTGACACCCTTTCTTCTGAGCAGGCAGGGCCCTGCGTATGTCCCTGCCCTTACACCACACACACAGAGCTCCTGTCGCAGCCTCCAGCTCCAGAGGAGCCAGCAGGCAGGAACAGTGGCTTGGTTCACCCCAGCAGTCTTCTCGTGCCCCAGACTGAGACACCGCTGTCCCAAAATGCAGAGGACAATAGGGAGTGGAGCTGGGAAAGCAGCAGAGCTCGGAAAGGCCACACAGAGGCAGCTGCCCTAGTCCCAAGGGCAAAAATCAGCAGGCACGAACACTTCCCTGGCTCCAGCAGCCCCACTGGTACCCCACCCTGTCGCATCCGGGTGGGAAGAGCAATGGGCAGCTCCAGACATGCATCCGCTCTGATGGGATGCTAACAGCACCGGGGAACAGATGCTCCCCCTGCGAAGGTGTACTGGAAGCACAGCAGGATGAGGGCTTCAGGCTGGATACAGCAGACTGCAGAAGCATCGGCTCCAGGCTCTCTGCAGAGCAGAGTCAGGAGGATGTTGTTCTTCCCTTCCCCCAAGCAGCGGAAGAGCTGCAGGCCCAGCTGTCCACCGCCAGTTTCCCCACACAGTATTCACCACAGCCAGGGAGAAGGGAGTGGAACCAGCACAAAGCATCCTCACCCCTGGGACCTCTGCCAGGACCCCCCAGGATGGAGGGGCACTGCAGACTGGAGAGCCCTGGCACCCAGAAGTACCCACCTAGGCAGCAGCACCCAGCCTACAGCCTCACAAGGGAGCTGCTGGCTGGAGGACAGCCTTGGAAGGGGCAAAAACTTTGCTCCTCTGCCCTTCTGGTGCTCCCCAGCTGCACAATGGGGCTATGGACACTGTGTATGCTCCGTCTGCACTAAACTACCTGGTTGGGAGCCGAAAGACACAAACCAGCTTGTGCCTGTGCCTCCAGCCTGCCTCCCATGGGGCAGTGCCAGCGCTAGTAGGAGCCTGGCAGAGGCAGCGTGGAGCTGCCTGCCTCCTGCTCCAGCAGCCTCCTACCTGCTCTGGGCAGCAAAGCAGAGCTCAATGTTCCCACAGCCCAGAAAAGCCAGCCTCTTGCAGGCTGAGCAGGCAGCAGGGTTAACCCCACATACAGAGGGCATCACCAGGCTCCTGAAGCCAGGCAGGGACTTTGCCAGAGGCACAGAGGGGAATCTCCGAGCAGGGGTTAGCCCAAATCAGCACTTACTCTCTGCAAGCCTCCCCGGCACACACAGAGCAGAGGAAGAGCTGCATCCTTGGACGAGAACCATATTTATTTCACTGACACAGAATTGCACTGGTGGTCGATTCTACACACACCGGGGACACACAGCAGCGGGGCCCTGGGAGCTGGGCCAAGCTGCTGGGGGCAGAATTCACACCGAGAAATTTGTTTCTTCCGAGGGGCCGATGATCGATGGGCAGGACAGGGCTCTATGCAGCTGGGCTCCCGCTCCTGCCACCGGGCAGCTCCCACCCCATTCAAGGATAGAAACATTAAATAAATATATACAGCACCTCTTGGGGTGGGCTGGAACAGGCTGGGTGGGACAAGGCTCAGTTGCCCATTTTTACTTTAGATGTCTAGAAAGAGAGAAGAGAGGTTAGGCCGTGCCCCACAACCCGCAGCCCAGCATCCCAGTCCCACCCAAGCACCCCAGGACCATCCAGAAGCTGCAGACAGCTTATCAGCCCCATTAATAAGACACAAGCATCACACAGGGTGCACCCGAGCTGACAGTGGCTCAGAGGGGCCATCAAAAAGAGTTCACACTGCTGCAAATAGGCAGGGTGTGCTGTGGGGAGAGCTGTGCCACCCCAAACCTCACAAGCAACCTCTCCATCCCAATGCTGAGGATTGTGCTGGAGCCCAGGAGTGTCTCTCTGGAGCTGAAGAGCACCCAGGGTGACAGGCACCTCGTGCCCACATAAGCCTGGTGGCCCCAGGAGGCAGGTACCTGCAGGATAGCAACGATGACCCCGAACAGCCCTATGGCACTGCCAAAGATCTCCACGATCAGGATCTTGACGAAAAGGCTGGCATTCTGGGCGTCAGCCAGGGCAGCCCCACTGCCCACGATGCCCACGCAGACCCCACAGAAGAGATTGCATAACCCCACAGTCAGGCCAGCCCCAAACATGGAGAAACCTGTGAGAGAGGAACACTGCAAGAGCAGGGGGTAACCCCCTTCCACCTGCACCATGGGCACGCTGCTGCAGCTCTGCCTCAAGGTGACAGAAGACCCAGAGCTGTCAAGTACCAGCAGCGTCCTTCTGTTTGGGGAGCAGGACTGCTCCAAGGTACACCCTGACCCCCGCAGCACCAGGCCAGCAGGTGACAGCAATCTGCCTGAGGGAGGAGCAGTGCTGCCACTGGGCAGCACAGCCTAAATGGGTGCAGAAGGGCATCAAGAAGGTAACTAAAAAGCCACTTTTTGGGAGAATCATACATCCTTCAGACACCTGCAGCAGGCCATGGGCCAGGTGAGCCAGGCCCTGCAGTCCCATTCTCTGTGGCCCAGGGCAGAGGGAGCAGCAGGAAGCAGCGGTCAGGGTGTGGCAATGCTCACAGCGATGGCACCAGGGACTGAGCAGTCCTTACCTGCATGGTAGTTCCTGGCTCCAATCGTCTCTGGGGTCACTGCAGAGAAAGGCTGAGAGAAAGCACAGGGTCTGGGTTACTGGCAAGTCCATGATCTCTGGGAGAGGCACCCATCCCTGATACAGCAGGAGGCAGACACATTTTGGCTAGAGCTGGTCCCTGACTCCATGCTCCTGGGTGGCTTCAGGACATCTGCCTTGTGTGCGCTTCCCCAACCCACTCCAGTGTGGACAAGGGCCGCTGCAGAGACCACCAGCCCAGGGGCTCCCAGAGCAGCGTCCAAAATCCCCCAGTCACTGCTCACAACTGCCCATGCCCAGCTGCCCATCTCCACCACGGCCCTGAGGCCGGCTCAGGTCCTCTCATACCTCAGCCATGTTACTGATGACAATTGCCATGATGATCCCGTAGATGGCCACAGCCTCACAGAAAATGATGCTGTGGGAGAAAGGCAAAGTCTGAGCACAGTGTCCCAGTGAGTCTGAGCAGTGTCCCAGCCTCTGCCCCACCCTGAGCAGCCCCCACCACTTCATGCCCAGCCAGCTGGCAGCCAGACCCCTCCATGGCCATATCTAAGCCTGCCCCACTGCTGCCAAGGGCAGAAAGGCAGCCCAGCCCACCCATTAGCTTTCTTCTCAAAGAAGGGAGAGCTGCCAAGGACAAAGGCCAGGTCCTGGTTGTGCTGTGCTGCCTGAGGAAGCTGCGAGGACCCCGTGGGAAGCAGGCGCAGGAAACAGGCCTGCCATCCGCCAGCCCCCTTCTGCTCCTTTGGGGAAGGGCTGTGCAAGGTCTGGCCAGGGAAGTCCTCGCCTTCAAACAGGGTGTTTGTTTTGAACACACTGGGCTCATTCACTTCGTGATATCGCACAGTGACTCTTCAAAGCAGCACTCTGGCTCCTTTAGGGCTCTTTGTTTTGAAAGCAAACAGATGAGCAAGGAACAGCCTGCCAGCAGCACCCAGCTAGAGATAGGACAGAAGCCTCTATACTGAGCTGGGACCTGCCCTGCTCAGACGTGGCATGAGCACTAAGCCCAGGTCTGTGCTTACCTGACCAGGTTCTTGGTTTTGATCCGAGGAGCTTTGACTCCACCACCAATGATGCTGGAGCCCGTGATGTAAATCCCCCTGTGGCAGACAAGGGTGGTTGGTGCACGGTCTGGCACTCGCTGAAGGATTCAATAGGGAAAACAGGATCTTCCAGCTGAGCAAAGAATCGGGTGTGCAGCTGGGGGACACTGCGGCCTTGGCCTGACCACCCCCAGGGTACAAGTGGTCCCAGAACTGATGGGACACAAGAGCCACCAACTGCAAGGCTTGGGCTCAGAGGCATGGCTTCCAGAGAGCCAGGGTTGTCCCTGCTTCTCCACTGCCACTGCAGCCCATGAGGTGGTCTGCCCAGACCCCCCAGGAGTCCAGCAACCTGGCCCCACTGCTGCAGTGACCCACCCAGCCCCACACCCCTGCATGTACATGCTGTTCTGCCCCTGCCCTGCCATGGGGAACAGCAGCACACAAGCCACTACCAAGGTGAGACTGCAGCAGCCTGCTGAAGAGCCAGCCCCACTCACCAAGCAGCTCCCACCACGGACAGGGAGATGGCCAGGCCAATGCCCAGGTTGGACCACATGAAGGGTGAGGTCTCTGTCAGGAACCTGGAGAGGAAGAAGTGCCCCGAGTTAGCAGTACGCAGGCTGAGCCCCTCTAGTCATGGTGCACAGCCCCACAACAGACACACACACACACACCCCCTTCCCATCATGCAGTCTGAGATGACTTGGACACTGCCAGACAGTGCTCACAAGGGCCCTTCTCTGCCAGTCAGCGACCCAGGACCCTCACCCACATAGACTAAGATCTTCTTCCCAAACCCTCACTGTGAAGGAGAAGCCTCAGCTGGGAGGCAGGGTGGGCTGGGACAGAGGTGAGAAGGGCAGTGATGGCTGCACCAGGACCCTATATGGAGCCAGCCACACATACACATGTGCTGCATCTATCCTACCTCACAGGGAGCGCAGTAGCTCTCGTTCCCCTGCGATGCAGTGACCACTGCCTGTCACTCAAAAGCAAGTGCTGTTCCCTGCCAGGCACTGCCAACACCAACCACCTCCTCACACAGCCCTGGGCTCGGTGGGGAGGATGCCAGTATTTACAGGGAACTCACCAGGCCACATCGAAGCGGAAGCCCAGGTCAAATATTGTGTAGCAGATCCCTGGAAAGCAAGAATGACATGGGAACTTTCAGACAGCCACCAAGTACTAGCCGGATGCTTCCCTTTTCTCCCCTACCTGTGGAACCCAGGGGCAGAGGGTCAGGAGCACACCACAGTATGCAGGAGGGTTACTGGGAAGACTGGCTCAGGCGTGCAGAGCTGTGGGGCAGGGTGCCCCACCAAACTCCAGCCCCAGTTACCCCAGCACTCCCACATCAGTTCCAGACAGACAGCTTGAATCCACAACGCTCCCAGAT